CTTGAGTCAATTAGTGAACATCTGAAGTTAACAAAAAAGTTAGATCTCTATATTTTTATCTAGAATTGGGTGTAATTTTGCATCAAATAACATTATTTTGTAAATGTTATCAGTCCATTCAGTAATTAGGTCTTTTCTAAATATGTTGCTATATATCTGGCAAAAACTGTTATTATGAAGTTAAATGAAGTAAATACAAAGTTAATTTCTTGATTTACAAATCAATATTATCGTGATATTAAAGCATGCCTCTTCCCAAAACACCTTGTCAACGCCGATAACAAGGAAGGAGAAACAGATGCCAGTACTGCTCTCACAGCACTGACATGCTGTCCTGAATGACCCAATTAGGTTGGGGAAGGGGTGTGGCCTGGATCCCCAATTCCGTGGAGTTGCCACCTCCACCCTCACTCTAAATAGCTTATACAAAATCAAGTTATTCACATCACTAACACAAAATCCAGCAAGCTAGTCCTGAAAGCCATCTACATTTATATATTTATATGTTACTGTGTACATTAAAAAAAGAATTTTATTGTGCTTTTCACATACCTAAGTTTTTCTATCATTTTATTTCTAGGTTTCTTGGGAAGGGAAGCGAAAGACTAAGAAAAAAGGTACATCAAGAAAGTCAGACTATGAAGTAACACTACACACATAACTAGCGAGATAGAATTTAAAAGATACTATTATCAAAAAGCAGTATACATATATATAAAAGAAAACAAAGTCTCCTCCCATAAATCCATATTATTCCATGATAGATTTTCACAGCAACCAGTATATATATCAATATATTTTTCACAATCAGTTCAGTTATCGAGAGAGTATGCTTTTAGAATTGAAAGATATCATTTCCATAGCAGCTAGACATTGTCCTATTAGAGAAATGTGCTTAGAAATGGTACAGTGATTTGCTCATTCTGATGACTATTTACAGATATCTATTTACGTTAGCAATAAATAATCATGGTATCAAAAGAGAATGCTCGTGCACACCCCGAGATGGCTGCATGCTCTGAAAACATGTACATGTAGCTCAGTGCCAGTGCCAGCGCGTGCCCTTGAATCTTCTCCCCATCAGTCTTGCTTCTGGGGGATGCATCCTTCCATTTCTACCACCTCCGGCCAGCCTTCATACTTGTTCGTGTCCTTATTGTTCTTTATGTGCTGTTGGAACACAATCATAGTAGTTTTAAAAACCTCTATTGATTGTTTATCTGCAATAACAGTTTAGTGTATTCATTTCACTAACACTATGTCAACAAGGAGCTCATATAAATTACTGTTCAAGCCCCAGCCAGGTGGCTGTTAGTTGGAACACTGTCCCATAGACCAAAAAGGTTCTCGCTCAGGGCATAGACCTAGGTTGCAGGTTCGATCCCCAGTGAGGGCGTGTATGGCAACAGTTCCGTGTTTCTGTCTCACATCGATGTTTCTCCCTCTCTATTTCTCTCCCCCCTTTTCCTCTCTCTCTAAAATCAATAAAACATATCCTAGGCTAAGGATTAAAAAAATTATTGTTCAAGATATTAAATGGGGCATGGCATGCAGTGGCAGACCTTCAAATAACCCACTGAAAGAGCTAAACATCGCAGATTTCTGTAAAGGATCACTTGTTAGCCAAAAGGTAAAGTTCACATTCTACTAACTTCTAAAGTATTTTCAAACTTAATTGATTATATAAAAAGCTCAATTAAAATCTTTAATAACCAATGCTTCCTAAAAGGCTTCAGGCACAAGTAATCATATGCCAATGCATTGCCATGTAGGAAAAAAATTCCCGAGAACTTACAAAAAAATACATGAACATATTAAATGGCTGCTTTATCTAAGTTTTAAATAACTGGGATTAAAATATTTACCATACAATTTCACACAATTCGGTTTTGTCCATTAATGATTAAAGTCTAAGACACTAACCTGTTCAAAAGGACTTTTTGTTTTAATGCCTTTGCCACCACAGAAGACCCAGTTGTCTCTAAAGCCCAGATTGGTAATAGATGTGCTCCCCAACTCCGCAATGAGCCGCCGCGCCTCATCATTGAGTCTTAGGGGGAGAAAAAGAATAATACGATAAACATAGTGCATTCAAGTTAGCTTAGTGATCCCAACTCACCTAGGATATCTAACATATAACATGAGATAAAATGAGAAAATGGCAGCTTAAATAAGACAACGTAAGAAATTTTTTTTGAGTAACAGACATATATGAGTTTCAGGTATACAATATAGTGATTTGACATTTTCATACCTTATACATGATCACCCCATTAATTCCTATTATTTGAATTCTTTAGTGACAAAAGACATGAGATCTAGCAATTATATTTTAAGCTTATTTTATTAAGAAGTACCATTTAGTCTTTATTTCACAGCAATAATTAACTCTCATCAGTTAGTAGATGCCTATCTAGGCTAACGCAGGGTCTTAAAAAACCAATAACTTTATAAAATTAAACATCACTTTGAATCTCCAGTCAAATCTTTGCAAACCGCAGAACTGAATAAAGGTAAATGCTCATAAAAATCTAGATGTTTCTAATTTTACATCTTATTAAAATAAAGTGAACTTTGAGAACAGGGACATAAGTCATACTCCAGTGATAACTGCCACGTGGTTATTTAATGAAAGTGAAAATATTAACCACACAGCAGCTAAGTACCTCCCCAGAGGAAGGCCAGTGGCAAAAGCCAACTGCTAGGGAATAGATAACTGAAAGATGCCATTAAGGAATTTTGTGTAGGTTATTACCCTAATGTTGAGTGATTCTTAATCTTCTCAAAATAGCAAAGGAAGTCAGTAGCTACATGCTAACTGTAGAGCTAAAAAAGAAAAAAAAAAGATAACTAAGGGCTGCCCGTGCAATTGTTTTATTTACCCAAAAGATTGCACTACGGGCACTCGGAGAGTTCTGTTCTGTTATAAATCTAAGGCAAGGCTGCCTGCAGCGGGTGGCCCTGTTGGTTGGAGCGTTCTCCTTACACCGAAAGACTAGTAGGGAGCATACAGGAGGCAACCGATGGATGTTTCTCTCTCTCTCTCTCTTTCCCCCATCTCTAAAAACCAGTGGAAACATATACTCAGGTGAGGCTTAAATAAAAAAATCTGCAAGGCAAGGGTTTTTTGTTGTTTTATTTTTTTGCAAATCGCTGGAGGACCATTAACCTCACATAGCATGAGGGTCAGTAAGGAAGGTACTTGGTTGTCTCAGAGTTCCTTGAAATGTCTCATACTAACATCAGTTAGCACTTTAGGGTATTAAGGAGAAAACACTGGGTCCAATAGTTCTCATTTAATTAACTTGAAGATAAGCAGGGTAACCTTTTTTTGAACAGGAGCTTTAGTCCTGGCCAGTATAGCTCAGATGGTTAGAGCGTCCTCCCAATATGCTAAGGTCGCAGGTTCAACACCCAGTCAAGGCACATACAAGAAGAAACCACCAATGAATGCATAAGAAGGTGGAACAACAAATCAATGTTTCTCTCTCCCCACCAACTCTAAAATCAGTTAAAAAAAAATAAATAAAAAATTTGATATTTTTCTCTCTCACTCCCTCCCCCCACCAAATCAATAAATTAAAAACAAAAAATAAATTTTAAAATGTTTCATAAGACAGGAACTACATATATCATTAGACTTCCACAGTTTAGGCAAACCACGCCAGGGAGTTGCGGGCTATTTAACCACAGCCTGGTCCTGCTGTCCTCCTGAGGAAGTTCATCAGAATCAGTGACAAAATCAGTTGTCCCGAAATATTGAGCCTTTCAGACTCAAATCTATATAAAGTGATGCATCTGTAACCAAGTGAAATCAAAATAAATGAAATGGCTGTGCCAAAGAACCAGGGAGTCCCGGCCTTCCCATAGGACCGGTGTAGGTGCGCCTGGCTTGCTGCCCAGTCTGTCTGTAGCATGTTTCCTTTGCCCATCTGGACTGACAAGTGAGCTATCATTTATTTGTCAGCTGACTTGGTAAGAAACTTTTGATTTAGAGGGACACTCCGTGGAAGTACTGCCTAAACCGTTTTCTTATTTTCAAACAGTGCTAGCGTGTCTTAGATCTGGGAACACTGTTCAATTCCATTCGTTAATCCAATGCTTCTACCATCCACCTACTCTCTTAGAACATTTTACTTGCAACATCAGCACTAAGAGGTGAGCTCTGCGGCCGTAACAGGAACAAATAGCACTGGATGCAGAGGCGGGGCAGCAGGCTCACTGCGAGGCCTAGTGCCCTCCTCCTGCTGAGGCCTCAGTTCCATCTCAGAGACATGTCCGACGGGCGCCTCACAGGAATGTGAAATTCACAGATGATGAGGGATTGCTATATACACAAAAACTGCCTGCAAAATCAGTGATTGTCCAAATGCAGGCCTGGCCCTCTGCAAAAAGTATATAAAATCTTTCTTAGCTAAGAATTTTATATCAGCTAAGAAATACACTGAAGGGCAGCCATACTTTTGAATTTCAGAAGTGATCATTTTGATCTGTAGAAATAAACTAAGCCAATTTAGACAGAGATCTAGAAGCAACTTGAAATTAAGCTTTACATGTTGACTGGGCTCTTTCTCTCCTTGCTTTCCCCTGAGGACACCCCTGGGCCCTGTGCAGAAAGGGGTTAAAAGAACAGGCCTGAGTTGGCAAGACAGGGGCAGGCGCCTGGAAACCTGAATTTTGCCAGGGCTCCCACCATTCCCAGAATCGATGAGAATGGTTCGCAGTGCCTAAACTGTAAAGAAAAAAAAAATGCAGTGTACGATTAATACCCACTTTCTCTCTGGAAGTCTGGGATTTTGGGGTGCCTACATGACCAGCTCCCAACAAGAATCCTGGGCACGGAGTCTCCATCAAGCTTCCCTAGTGGACAGAATTTCAAGGTTATCATACTTTGTTCCCAGAGGAATTAGGCATGTCCTGTGTGCCTCCCCGGGGAGAGGGCTCTGGGAAACATGTGCCCGGTTCCCTGCAGACTCTGTGCCACGCACCACCCCCTGTGCTGACTCAGCTTGGTGTCCTTTTGCTGTAACAAACTGCAGCCACAGGTGCGGTCTCTACGCTGGGCCCTGTCAGTCCTCCTAACCAATCAGCAAACTGGGGGTTGTCCTGGGCATCGTTGCCACAGGTCCCTATCCATGTCTATCAACTAGTTTTATAACAAGATAATTCTCTTAATAACTTCTAAGTTTTCCGATCTGCCCATGTAGCGAGTGGGGGATTTTATTATTCTTTTTTTAATATTTTCTACGTTAACAAGCTAAAAGAGAATTTCGCACTTCAAAAAGCATTTTACCCTCCACTTGCAGTTTGGCTCAGTGGATAGAGCGTCGGCCTTTGGACCAAAGGGTCCCTCCCAGGTTTGATTCTAGTCAAGGGCATGTGCCTTGGTTGCAGGCTCCTCCCCGGGTCCTGGTCGGGGTGTGTGCAGGAGGCAACCAATCGATGTGTTTCTCTCACATTGATGTTTCTCTCTGTCTTTCCCTCTCTTCCACTCTCTCTAAAAAAAGATCAATGGAAAAATATCTTCAGGTGAGGATTAACCAAAAAAAACACAAGTTTATAACCATGCAACATAGCCAATATTTTAAGCACTAGATGAATATATATGGGTGTCGAAATGTCCCATTTTTTAAAAAGCAGAGTAACTAGTACAACGCTACACAGCATGGAACTCAGAAGAGCTTTTCATTCTATACTGGAGCACCATGAGTCTGTTCCATGTATTTTAATCTTTGCCTATGGTCTTAACTAGCTCAGTTGTTAAAATTTTATATGAAATAAATTATTTTAGTTAAGAATTTTCTTTGAAAGGAACAGAACATTCTCCTTTAATAAACTGTACGGTGGACACACAGGTGTTCTAGGAAAGATTCTCAAGTTGCACAGCGGAGCAGAAAGAGAGGCCGGGAACCGGGGAGGGGCGTGGGCTCCGCCTGGTCTCTGCCTGCAGGGAAAGGCAGACACCCGCATCCCCCAGTCACGCCATCTAGCCACGCCAGCGCCCTTCGCGAGCGGTACAGAAAGCAAGGAGAACTGATATTCTGGGCTCAATCAGACTAGTGGGAAAGGACAATCGGAAAGTAGAAGTGTCAGGAACTAGGAAGAAAATGACCATGTTACCTCAGGAGAATGAAGGCTAAGAAACTCTAGGCATAGGAAGACCATGTCGCCGAGACTTTAAAGAGAGCATATTATAAGAGGTTCAGATTAGAAACTCTTATAAGAGACTATGATTCTTTAAAAACAAACAAAAACTCCAATAAATTTCACTCTGTAATTTGCTAATAATCTCAGAAAAAAGAGAGGATAGTTTCTAAATTAGTGGTACAATTTCGTGTTCTGTGATGGGCTCAAACTTAAAAAAAAAAGTGCAAAAACAGAGGGTAAATCCCATTGCTAATGACAACTTTATGGCTTCTACCAGGAAGAACTATAATGCTTGGGATGCATGGAGTCTCATAAAACTCTCAGAGCCACAGAAAGAACTCCTGCTCCTAAGTGTGAATAATGACGTGACCCACCGTTTCACAAGAATGATATATCAAGATCAAAGCATGATTGTCTTTTCCAAGGAGGCAAATGCTCTGTGATCAACACAAAAAGGGAACAGGGGCTCCAGATTGCCCATATAAATGCTTTAAAGTAAATTTAAATCTCTAGGCCCACCCACACCACATACTTAATTCTAAAGGAACTCGTTAATGCAATCTTCCATGCAGCGTCAGTTACTTTAGAAGCATCGTGGAAAATAGAGTTGCTAAGACATTAAAAGTGCAATATTCCAATTTTTAAAAAAGGCAAGAATTTTAAACAGTGGTCCAATAAAACCAATCCCAATTCGTAGCAAAACTCTTAAAAGGATTGTAAGATCATGTAAGCGTTAAAAAACAGAAGAGAAGGGGTCGTGGGAAGGAAGTGTTACTGTCGTGACCAGCTGGCTAACAGCAATGATAGGAAAGGAGCAAAGGGGAGGCCAGACATGGTAAGCATGGTCACCTGGGCAGCTTCACCAGGAGCTGCAACCTCACACTCCCAGGAACCACGGGCCAT